CCCCCCCCCAAGCATCATGGTCAGGCACAGCTCTGTTCCCATGCCCATCTGGTGCAGGAACTGCTTGCAAGTACCTGATGTGGCAGCAGGTGCAGCCAGTGAGGTGGCTGCTGCTGTGGTGGCTACTGTCACTTGGCTCAGGATACTGTCACTTGCAGTCCCAGGTTAGAGCCCAGAGCTGCCCACTCCCCCAAATGGGCACCTGCCAGCAACTAGAGGGGGGAGGGATCCTTGTTGTCCTCAGGGCAGGGGTTCAAGCACCCCTAACCACCATCCCCTCCACCCCTCCCTGGGATGACATGCACATGTAAGCAGCCCAACTTCACAGCAGCTCGCTCTCCATGCCTTGGCTAATCCTTACCGGTCCAGGACTCTTGCTTCAATCCTTACCCGCTGGCCGAGACACTAGGATGGCCTACTGAATCGGACTGTTCTGGCCAAATTGAGACATAGTCACCCTGTCTTATGGGGGCTCTCAAAAGCTGGGGTTTAAAAGACTGGATTTCTCTCAATACATCTTGTTCTCAGTAGATCTCACTGATCCCTTTACGTGTCTGGAATGATACAGAATCTTTCAGAGACTCTTAAATGTAGTAGTTGCCATAAACCTTGATTAGAGAAGTAGTAAATGCAAAAATTGTGGAGTTTCATAGTCTGCTGTTACAGTAAGACATGCTGGTTTTGGAATCTGCAGTCTAGTTATGCTGGCAGCCTTAACTTAAAAAAAATGAAGTAAATGAAAGCTGCCCCTCACTTGCTTATAGCTTCAGTCTTTGACATTTTGCCTTGCCAGCTTTTTGCAGTAGTACTGCAAGAGAAGACTTCAAAAATACACTAAATTATAAATCTCCATTTCTAGGAATAACCTAATTCCCCTGTACCCAAGTAACATCTTTTTTTTTTTTTTTTTTTAAACAAGCTAGTCCTTGTCAACTTGTTAGTTTCCCTAATAAACCTAAATTGTATGGGGAATATATAAAGCTTGGGGGCGGGGAGAGGGGAACATGAATGTTTTAATTCTTTTTATATGTATCTAGAGACACCTTTTTATTTTTTTGTCTTGTAGGTAAAAAACAAGACGGAGCTTTAGAGAACCGTAACAAAGGTAAATGTATTCCTGCAAAACTAAAAATAATAATTTGGGTGTTTGAAAATTATGGCTTAAAAACCAAGTTGATACATGATGCTAAACAAAGGATTTCTAGGCAAATGTAGCCAAAACCCAGATAAATTCAAATAAGTACATGTGTTTAAAAACATGTCAAACAGGTATTTGCTGCATTCCAATTGGTTACTGACTTTTGCCTTGTAACCTTGGTGAGACTGCTGATTTTTAAACTTCCATGTTCTGTATTTCTGTACCTAGCAAAAGCTCAAGATGGTGCAGCCATGGAAATGCAACCTTTGAAAAGTGAAGATGGTGGAGACGGAGATGAGAAAGACAAGAAGAGAGCTAATTTGCCAAAAAAAGAAAAATCAGTTCTACAAGGCAAACTTACTAAGCTGGCAGTTCAGATTGGCAAAGCAGGTATTACTTCATTCCTGTGCACTGGAGAAATTTGGTGCGTTCTAAAGTAACTTAACTATAGAAGGTAGCTGAAAATACTACTTCAACAAATTGATGCTAGTCAAGTACAGTTAAAGTTCTGTTATCCAGCATCTTACAAGCTGGCATGCTCACTTAACTGGCATGCCAGCTTGTAAGATAAAGTAAAATGGCAAGTGCCCACTGTGGCACTTACGGTTTCTCTAAGCCCCCACAGCCCAGGGGCATGATGGGCTGTGCGGGACCCGCCTCCCTGTCCCACAGGGCCCGCAGGAGGGGCGGAGGGATGCTCCAGACACGGCAGGAGAAGTGGTGGCCTGGGCCTCTCAGTTAACCGGCATATTTTGTTATCTGGCATTCCCCCCGTTCGTGGGGGATGCCGGATAACAGCTTTTTACTGTACCGCTGTTTCTAAGGTCAAACCTACGAAAAGCTTGTTTTTGGAGGAGAACATACTTTCATGGTAGCTGGTTTTCTGAAATGTAGGGATAGGAACTGGAATTCCTTACTCTTCAGGGGAATATATTGTGGGCACATACCTAGAACATGAAACATTAGTATTTCTGTACATTTTACCTGAACTTCCTGAGGCTGTCAGCTAGCCAGTTAGCCTCTTTAGTGTCTATACCTGCATGTTCCTTTTTTTACTTTATTTTAGGACCATCCTCTTTCATAATTGCATGTCACCTCACTAGTATTAGTCCCTTTTCACACCTGTATCTACAGTCTTCCACAAAATAGAAGGTTAAACATGAGTGTCTTGCTCCTAATGTCCAATCATTGCCATACTCCCTTCTGTCCACTGAAAGTGCTAACCAGTGTTCTTCAGCCACTCCCCCATTAGATTACCTGATCAATCTGCCTTTACCAGTTAGTCCTGATAATTAGTCTTCTGTTCCTAAATCTATGTTAAAGTTATCTTGTTGTTCAGCATAATGGCCTTAACTAAACTTTTTCTTATAAATGTGAAAAGCTAGCTTTTGTTCCTGAATGCATAAATGGTATTTTTGAATTGTAGTTTAACTATATCAGCCATGTACCTTTTTCCTATTCAGTTTCTTAACCATACAATTGTATCTTTTTCATTTTTAAATACTGCCTCTTGCATGTTCTTTTGGAAACTGAGACTAGGATTTTAGGAAAATTTTTAATTTTAAGCATGTGTACTGTAAACAAGAATGCCTTTCAGCTTTTTCTATTTTAAAAAAATTGCTTCTCTTTTTTTTTTTTAACAAAAGGTTTGTTGATGTCTGCAATCACGGTCATTATCCTTGTATTGTATTTTGTAATTGATACCTTCTGCATTAAGAAGCAACCTTGGCTTGCTGAATGCACACCAATTTATATTCAGTACTTCGTGAAGTTCTTCATTATCGGAGTTACAGTCCTGGTGGTGGCAGTACCAGAAGGTCTTCCACTTGCAGTCACTATATCCCTGGCTTACTCTGTAAAGGTAGGTGTGTGGTGGGGAACACTAGCATGCATAAAGGCAGGCATGTAGAAATGCAACAGCTAGAAATGTGCCCAGTAGGTAACTTTTTATTATTATTATTAATGCAAAAAAAGAAGAGAAAAACCTTCTGCTTGCTTCAGAGAAGCATTGTAGACCTGGGCCATGTCCACACAAGTTTGGATACTGTTTCCCTATGGACAGGTAGCAGCAGCAACCCACCTTGTAACGTTGCTGCTTGTCCCCAGGGAATGCCCATGCCCCATGTGCTCTGGTATGCAGCAGGTTATTCTGGGTGAGGTAGGAGAGGCTGGGGCTAGTAACTGTTGGCCCCAGCACTCTTATCTGGGGGCCTTTTTGGAGCTGCATCTGCAGCACTTCTGCAGCAGGGATCCTGGCTTGCACCCAGAGCATGGCTCCAGCCAGCCAGGTTCTGGTTTTGGGTTGTATACACTACTGTCACATGTGCCAACCTGCTCTTTATTTTTTGGCATGGGGTTTTTTGACCCTGGAATCTCCTGGGGTCACCCCCTCTCCATGTTATACCTACACGTGCAGTCTATAGCGCTGCACACAGGTCTATGATGCCACATACCACACCTCTGCACTTTTTTTCTGGATATGGTCCTGGTGTCTAACTGGCCTGAAATTCCTGACCGTATGAATGTCTTGGGGCAGGGCAATGTAGATTTCAGCAGGCTGGCAACAAAATGTCTCTATTGCGTTCTCTGATTTGTACAAGATAAAATCATATTCAATGCGTAATACTTTAGTATGCTTAAGTAATACTACAACTATTGGTAACTTAAATAACATAGCTTAATTACACTATTTAATTTTTTAGAGGTGTTGTATAATGCAAGGCTCTTATAAACTGAGCTAGGCAAGTTGTCCACTGAACTCTTTCATGACACACTTGTACAACCACAACTAAATTTAGTCAAATGGCTACAGGATAATCCTTCAGTGTTTGAAGATGCATCTTATTTGAATCCTTTGCTATCTGAGTTGATATTGCAGAATATCTAGAGCCTACAATTTTGGCACAGGGCGTCCTACTCCTGATCAGCTTCAAAATATCAAACTTCCTGGCAGTTCTTTTAGACTGGACACTTTAGTTTGAAATTGGCTGCAACAGTTAACAGCTTTGTATGCTGCTTCCTTGCACTTCTGTTAATACATAAGAGTAAGGCTGCTGCAAATCCATTTTTTGTGGGCTTGCTCAACTGCACCTTGGAGGTTAGGACAACCTTGGTTTTTTTGTTGGTGTGTGTTTTTTTTTTTAAACTGTCTCAAATGACAGGTTTTTACACTACACTACTTGTTTCAGGCACCCTTGGCCGGAAGTCCAATATTGCAGAATCTTCCAAGAACTGGAGTTTAAATTCCAACTTAAGTGCCCAAAATAAGTATGTCATGTTAGAAGTAAGGTCTTAAAACTGGAACACTGATCTTGTCCAATGATGCAGTGCAAATAATATCAGCTAAAGCAAAATGTGGTGTACAACTCCTTACCTCCATACTTGTTAAGTACAAGTAGGGTTTACAAGATCAGGTGGGAGACTTTTTAAGCTTAACTGGAATGGGAATGGTTCTCAGTTGGGAACCATTGAATATTGAGCAGACCGTATACTAGGCTAATCTATCACAGTGGTGGTTTTTAATCTAAAGTCAGGCAGAAGATAGGGCTTGGTGGCAATAACTTACTTTTTCAGATGCTACAGAGTTCATGTCTGAACCACTTGGGTCAGGATGGCATCTTTTTAGATGCTAGCTTCAGCTGGTTAAGCAGTGACTGAACCTCTCTGTTAACATGTTTAATAATCTACTAATATATAGCCCACTGACTGGGTTTTTATACCTGCATGGTCTTGATGCACAGTTGCAGGAGACTAGTTTAGTGAAGGTTTTCAAAATGCAGTTGATCTGTGCACAGTGTGCATGCATCACATTTGGAAACTGCCAGGTAGCCACATCATGAAGTTGGTGGGGATTAAGGTGCCCAAAGATAAGCACCCAAGTCTGAAAAGTTTCTGAAAATTAAAGGCTTAGTAACAGCTAGTTCATATTTGCTTATCTTTTTAGAAAATGATGAAAGATAATAATTTGGTGAGGCATTTGGATGCTTGTGAAACTATGGGTAACGCAACAGCTATTTGCTCAGATAAAACTGGAACATTGACCATGAACAGAATGACAGTGGTCCAGGCTTACATCAATGAAAAACATTATAAAAAAATTCCAGAACCAGAAGCTATTCCTGAAAACACCATGGCTTATCTTGTAACAGGAATTTCTGTTAATTGTGCTTATACTTCCAAAATACTGGTAAGTAGACCTTCCTTACTTTTCATACAATGAAGAAGTGAAATTAGGGTACCTTGAGTCTACTGTAATGTTAATGCCCAATTTGGTAAGTGTGAAGTCAGACTTTAAAATGCAAATATTAGTTTTGTAGTTAGCATAATTTTGGTGACTTTCGGAAACATCAGGAAGCTTAACTTCTTTTATAAAAAGCTAATTCTTGGATACCATCATGAATCTTGGTTTTTACAGGCTAGGGGCTTTCTCTGTTTTGGAAAGAATCTAGTGCATTTTGGGTGCTACTGCAATATAAAAATGTGAGAGCAGTTTAGTGTGTACTAGAATGTAATGAAAAATGCAAGTACAAATAATGCCTCTTTATTTTTATTCCCAGGTGTTAATACTGGATTTAAGGGTTAATAGTTTTACTATTTAATTGAAGCTTTTTATAGTGTGGGGCATAATTTATTACATAACTCCATGAATAAATGCTGTACTATATTTGCTTTGCCTAAGTCTGCTTGTTCTGATGGATACAGATGTCTGACTCATTTTACACAATACTGTATAGAATTTGTCTCAAGTCAACGAACTGAAGTCTGATGGCACTTACAGCTTTCTTGACTATTGTAGTAATTACTTGAGTTGTTGCATCAGTATTCCGATGTTAAACTCCGCTCCTGAATTAAGGCCATCTAGAAGTATGCTGCAAACTTCGTATGTGTAGGAAGAACTTTTTAAAACGTTTTTAGACGTAAATGATAACTGATGCAAGAGAAATATTAAGTGAGCACACTTGGTCCTCAACTTGAAGCAATATACATTGTTCTACAATGTACAAGTTTGTCTTGTATGAATGATTCAGGCGCTTATAAGTTAACATTTTCTACATTGATGTAGAAAACTAAGTTATGGATGCTGTATGTACCTCATTTAAAAAAAAAATGCTGTATTTTAAAGTGCTCTGATTTTGACAGTTGTCAGAGGCTCTGAGAGACTTTTTAGCCAGATGTCATACTACAAGAAGTAAATGATATTCTCTAAACTACTAGAGGCATTGCCTTAATCTTTTGAGAGCAGCTCTAAAATTTTAAAACCAGTCTTGTATACTTCATTCACTTTTTTTTACAACACTCAAGTCTGAGTTGGAAAATGTTTTAAGAAATAGTCTTAAGAAAAAATTAAAACTTTTGCATTTAAGTGGTTACAGGGAGATGAATTCCTCATATACTGACTCTATACCTCATGGGATTTCGAAGTGATCTTTTTCTCAACAACACTTAATATTGGTGTTGGTGAATAGCAGACATACAACTGGTTAAAAATTTGACATGTTGATGCAATGGTACAAATCTCTGGTTTCCCTCACTTACAAAGGAAGGCATGGTTTCTTTCCTAAAGGAGTTGGAATAATGTTCATGTCTTGAATACAGCTGAATGCAAGACCTTGGGCTCCATTTTGTTGGTTCCCATTTACAGCCCAGACGTAAAGCAGTGATTCAAGAAAGTATTTAAGAATCATAGTGTAAAAGCTTATTCACAGTGCTGAAGAAGGCAGACTAGTGCTTCTCCAATATTTTTTGTTAGTGTGAATGAAGGGCTTATGCTCAATGAGACTAGTAATGGAATTCAACACTGAATCCACTTGAAATATCAGTTCAAAAAATACTAGAAAAACAAAAAAGGGCTTTAAAATACTAACTAGGTCAAGGTTTGGAAAACAGCTTTATGATGGGACTTCTAAATTCATTCCCTAAGAGAAGATTCCCAAATAATCAGTCTAGAAGCACCTTTTTATGGGGAGGACACCTTGTAGGAGCGGGCTTTAAATTGGCAGAAGAAAGGCATAGTAAGATTGTGGTTGGGAAGAAGGTAAAACAAATTTTGAACTAAATTGGATAATAAATACCATTACAAATATTGAATCATACCTTTACTGAATAATAAACTGTTGTTGAAGTTCTTGACCCTGTGCTAAGGTGGTCAAACAGGATGTACAGTCCTTGATGTTGGGCCTCTGGCTTCTAGGTTTTTTGTCCCTATGGAATATGACTTGCTCTCAAATTTGAATTATTCAAGAACATGTAACTGGATGGTGAGGAAAGATGGGGAGTAAGTTTACTGCTGGCCCTTCTTTCAGTTTGATTATTGGAGGACTGTGCTTTGCAAACTGAAACAATTCCTCCTAAAAGTTGTATATACTTTCTTTTTTACAGCCTCCTGAGAGAGAAGGTGGCCTACCACGTCATGTCGGTAATAAAACTGAATGTGCCTTGTTGGGATGGCTTTTGGATTTAAAACGGGATTATCAGGATGTAAGAAACGAGATACCAGAAGAGGCACTGTACAAAGTATACACGTTCAACTCTGTTAGAAAATCGATGAGTACCGTATTAAAAAACTCTGATGGCAGCTTCCGGATATTCAGCAAAGGTGCCTCTGAGATAATACTTAAAAAGTAAGAGTAATCCAAAAGTTGTGTTCTTATTAGTCACTAGTTGCAGATATATTAAACTGTCCGAATAAACACAAACTAATTGATTTTAATGTCAGTTTTTGCATTGCTTTTAGAGAAGACAAACTACTAGCTATACAGTGCAAAATGACTGACTCTCTTCTGTATTGGCTGCCACCAATGCAGATTGTGGGTTACACTTTTATTAGTCAAGATAGTAACAAACTTTACATATTCTCTTGAGAACCGAGGCCTGTGGTAGGTGCATATTTGTTTCTTCCTTTCAGCAGAACAGGTGAGCAGAACTTTTCTTAACTTTTTTTTCCCCCCCTAAACTGGTTTCATGTCCATATACTTTGTGCATATAGCTTCAGGAAATACTTTTAAGTAGGAGATTTTTCTGGAAGTTCTTAGCAGATACTGAGTGTTCTCTGTACTAGAAGAGGGAATTTGAGTTGTTGCCAGGCTTTTCTTTTAAAGAAAACTCAGTCTGCTTTAGCAGTTTTATTCTAGTATGGGCTCTTTAATCTTGCTTATTCTGGGGACCCAGTTAATATTCTTATTGTCATATTGGTGCTAGATCAGGATAGTCTCAATGTTCAAACTAAATTATTGCCTTAAGGTAGTTGTGTGAATAAACAGGTCAGCATGGTATTCCTGTAATTGGTCCAGATTTCTCATAGTGAAAGAAAAAAACAAGATCCTTTTCTCCAAGTACTGCAGGGTCGGTAACATCCAGAACATCTTTTTCTCCATTTTTGACAGAATAGGGAAGTATCAATTTACATGGCTTTTTGTTTGACACAAATGACTTAATCTTGCCATTTTGAAGTATTGCAATCTCATAGCTACTTTGAATGCCAGCACAGATGAAGTTTTGTGTTTTTTAGATGTTCAACAAGGAGAATAGTCAGAAGCAAGAAAACAGCGGCAGTACCTTCTCTGCTAGTTTACCAGCATCTACATCTATCAGACTTTTTTTGAAATTGGGTAGCGTCTTCACTCCTCACCAAAATTTGTTGTACTTGCTCATTTTTCTTTTAAATGCCAGACTGACAAGGCAGGGCCTTCTGGTAAGAGTATCAAAACTTGGATGTTGGAGTAGCTGAAAATCTAAAATTACCCCACTGTCTAGGCAAGTAGAAAAAGTAACAAGCAAATGGGTAGGGAAAGCCATTGGCTGTGCTAGATGTATATCTAATTGCTTGATGTTGGTGACTGCCTACTCTGCTGTGACTTTTTTCATACAAACTTGATTCTCTGTTAGCACTTAAGCACTCAAGATTTTTTTCCTTCTGTGATCTTAAATTCCACTGAGCTAAACTTTTTTTTCTTTTTCTAAAAAAAACCCCCAGTTAAAATAGGACTAGACTGATTCAGTTTTAATGCAAGTAAGAAAATGTGTTCTGTACCTTTTTTAAATATGTTGTTGTATTTGAAGACTTAGGAGGAACAATTTAACTGAAGCTTGAATTTTTTTACAATTTGTTGAGACCTGCAAAATTTTCCTCTGTTCAGTGGCAACTGTCAAGTGTGTGTGGTTTTTTTTTTGTTTTTGTTTTTGTTTTGTTTTGTTTTTTTTTGTTTTTTTTAAATGAGGTGTTGACTATGTTCACAAAGAGTATAGTTTGCCGTTTCCACATGCTTTTAAAAGAACATTTTGATTTGGAATGTTCACATCTTTTTTTTTAACCTTGCTTCATTTTGAGCAGACCATCTACTGAACTGACATGTAGTTGGGTTACGCTTCTGGAAGTGAGCAAACCCAGGTAACTTCATGAGTAGAAGGATAGGGGTGGGGTTGAGGAACCTAAAACTACAAAGTGAGAGTTTAAGTGCTCCAGCTATTTTGCTGTGGCTTCTTAAGGGCACTGATCTGCTTTTTTTTATTAGCTGCTTGGGACTGCTGATGAATTTCAGATGAATAGAAAAGTGGTGACCTCTTGAAGTAAAAGCTGCTGCAAACAGCTGAGAGTCATCCCTAATTTGGCCAGACGGTGTACATGAAGCAGGTTGCAAATGACCCATATATGAAAGATCTGGGTTCTTTTATATAGTAAATATTGTATGTTGGCTTTTTAAGTCTACAAGTTAAGCTTCTGAGCTCTGAAAGGATGCCTGCATTGCAAGATGCAGGGTAATACGTATTTGAGGTCTTGCATTAATTTTTTGTTTTTCCTTGTTAGGCTGAAAAAAGCTTCAGGCAGCAGTATTTAACAAAAACAAACGAACAAAACTCCTTCAAAGGGATATTGGAAATATCATCTTATTGCTTTTCTGATGTAAAACTCTTAAACTATTTGTGACTTTGACTGCATACTTTTTTCAGGCTTCATGTAATCTAGTGATCTGCTCTGCCTGAAATGCTTGCTGTTAGACCAAGTTGATAAACACAGTTGACTGCTTGACTTTCTGTATCAGCTGGTCTAATTTTATATATAATTTTTCTTTAAACCAACCAAGCCAATCTAAATGGTGTTAAAGCAGATTTTCATATTTTGGTAATAGTTCAATTGTAGCAGAAGTTGGTGGCACCCTTAATTTTGCTGTTTGCCATGCTGGGGGGGGGGGGGGCTGCACTGCTGAGTAGCAGAGGCAATTAATCCCATGGTTTTTGCCTTTGACTTGGAGTGCAGGGAAGGGAGGGCGTGTGTTTTGAGAAGAGCAAGGCTTAAAAGTGCCGCTGCATCACTGACTCCTCCTCCTGTGATCTCAGTAGGTCCCTAGTAATGGCTCCTGCACTCGGTCATAATTAACTGGCATCTTTGCTGTGTTCAGTAGATAAGGGCAACAGGTGAGGCCTCATTCTTCCTTAGAAACTAGGGCAATGTTCTAGTGAACTCTGGGCTCTCTGTGAATGCACGGAGCCTGGGAAACGAGCAGGAAGAATTAAGTCCTCGCACAGTCATGAAACTGACATGATTGAAATAACAGACTTAGTAGGATAGTTCATATGACTGGCATACAGTCATGGATGGATGCATGCTGTTCAGGAAGGACAGGTGGGGGAGAACAGCTGTACTTTATGTAAAAACTGTATGATTGTTCAGATTTCCAATAGGAAACTTGAAATAGGTCTTTTGAAACTTTCTGGGTTAAGGTCAGAGGGGAGAGCAAGAAGGGGGTTTTTGTGGTAGGTGCCTGCTATAAACTACCAGACCAGGATGATAAAGTATTCTTTTTTTCTCTTCTGTTTCCAAACAGCTAGCGGAAATTTCTGGATCATGGGTCCTAGTTCTCATGGGGGACTTGAGTCACCTTGACATCTAGTGGGAAGGTATTGCAGTAGTGCACAGGCAATCCAGGAAGTTAGTTGTTGTGTGTTTTTTAGTGTTGTGGACAAATACCTGGTGCAAGTGTTGGAGAAGTCAACTGGGGGCAATGCTTTTTCTTGACTTGCTGCTCATAAAAAGGGAAGAACTGGTGAAGAATGTAGAAGGGGATGGTGACTTGGGCGGCAGTAGCAATGATGGGATGATTGTGTTCACGATGCTGAGGGGAAGGAAGGAGAGCAGCAGAGTAAGGACCCTGGACTTCAGATGAGCTGACTGACTCTCTCAGAGAACTATTAGGCATGATCCTCTAGGAGGCCTGTTTTGAGGTGGTGTTTGGGTGGGGGAGGGGTGGGAGGAGGCCAGGAGAGCCAGTCCAAG